TCATTTGGGGTAGGACCTAGGCCCTCCTCCATGTATCTTGGCTGAATAAGGTATCCCTCTATAGGGAATGGACTCCAAAAAACCAGTTCATGCCTTAGGGAGAATTACTGGTTCCACTGCCAGAGGCCCCATAGACTGTCCAAGCCCTTCAACTGTTGCCCATGTTCAGCGGGTCTAGTTTGGTCTTATGCAGGTTCCCCAGCTGCCAATCTAGAGGTAGTGAGCTCCCACTTGCTCAGGCCAGCTGTTTCTGTGGGTTTCCCTAGCAAGGTCTTGACCCCTTTGCTCATCACTCCAGCTACAACTGGACTCAAGGAGTTCCGGCTCAGTTTTTAGCTGTGGGTCTCTGTTTCTGTTTCCATTAGCTACTGGATGAAGGCTCTAGGATGGCATTTAAGATAGTCATCAATCTTATTCTAGGGGAAGGGCATTTAAGATAGCCTCTCCACTATTGCTTAGATTGCCAGTTGGTATCATCCTTGTGGATTTCTGGGAATTTCCCGAGTGCCAGGTTTCTCGTTAAGCCCTTAAGGGCTCCCTCTATATTAAGGTATCTCTTTCCTTGCTCTCCTTCTCTGTTCTTCACCCAACCAGCCCGCCCTGATCCTCATATTCTCCTCCCCCTCCTTCTCCCCTCCTCTCTCCTCCCTCCCTCCCCCTTCCCCATGCTCCCAATTTATTCAGGAGATCTTCTCCCTTTCCCCTTCTGGGGTGGTGATGGTCCATGAATGTCTCTCTTAGGGCCCTCCTTGTTTCCTATCTTCTCTGGTGGTGTGGATTGTAGGCTGGTTATCCTTTGCTCTATGTCTAATATCTACTTATGAGTGAGTACATACCATGATTGTCTTTCTGTGTCTGGGTTACCTCACTCATGATGGTTTCTTTGCCTGTGAATTTCAAAATGTCATTGTTTCTTATTGCTGAGTAGTACTCCTAGGCTGCTTCTAGGTTCTGGCTATTACAAATAATGCTGTTATGAACATAATTGTGCAAATGTCCTTGTGGTGTGAGTGTGCATCTTTTGGGTATATGCCTTAGAGTAGAATTGCTGGATCTTGAGGTAGACTGATTCCCATTTTCCTGAGAAACTGCCATACTGATTTCCAAATTGGCTGTGCAAGTTTGCACTCCCACCAGCAGTGGAGGAGTGTTCCCCTTTCTCCGCATCCTCCCCAGCATAAACTGTCATTGGTATTTTTGATTTTAGCCCTTCTGACAGGTGTAAGATGGTATCTCAGAGTTGTTTTGATTTGCATTTCCCTGATGGCTAAGGATGTTGACCATTTCCTTAAGTATCTTTCAGGCATTTGAGATTCTTCTGTTGAGAATTCTCTGTTTAGATTTATACCCCATTTTTTTTTATTAGTTCAAGTTAGGGAACAAGCTTGTTTCACATGTAAGTCCCTTCTCCCTCTCCCTCCCCTCACCCCCATTCCTCCTCCTGAACCCCCAACCTACCCTCCACCCTATCCATCCACCACTCCCCAGGCAGGGTAGGGCCCTCCACAGGGGTCTGCAAAGTCCACCAAATCCTC